ACCGATCATAAGGAGGTGATCAACAGAAAAATTCAAACTTTTTCACTTCCGTAAATATCAAAAGTTTTGCCAGTAATCACATGCTCATAAGTTACATGATTCCTTCATTTATACATTTAATGTTCGTCTTTGTACATTTCGTTACTTGTCACGTCATGTTATGTTGCATGAGCGTTTACAATTATTTTCTAGCAAACCATGTTGTTGTTTCTGTTCTCTTTTGCATTTGTTTATTTACTTTGGCGAAACGAATATGGAAATTCAGTGGGATTGATAATTTTACGAAAAAATTCAGTATGTTGATTTCCTGAAGACGCAATGTGATTTGTACAACGATATTGGGCAGATTCAACGGAATCTATTCACGGGCATACAAGATTTGGTAATCACTTGATGTGTTTGTTACTGTCATCGTTATTGTTTGTGGAGTTTGCGTGATCGTCCTCTTTTGAGTTTTTCCAAAACTTGAAGCTGCTTGATATAAGTTAGAGATGAGTGGAAAAAATGAGCACTTGTAAACGGTAAATGAACTGGTCAATTCTAATCCTCACTTGCAAATTTCCTGTAATTCTCTACCGCACAATATCACAATCTAAAGGAAGTCAGTAGAGAGGAATAAGTAACGAAAGAAAAGAGCTGAAATAAGAGCAAGAGATTAATAGTTTTTTGGGAACCACTCATTTGAATGGATGTTTTGTTTTTAGTGATTGTAATTGTTAAGATTGTCAATCCACTGCAAACATTCGTAATGACGGATTCTAATCGAATATTACAAGAAATATCAGAACTGGACGAACGACGACGAGATATGGATATCGCTATCGATGAATTGAATAGGCGAGACTTTCATTCTGCAATTTGACAAATGTCCACTCATTGTCAGACGAACATTTTCAAGTTCATAAGAAGGAGATTAAGTTATGCTGAGTACTAAGAAATTCATGTGAAGCAGATTAAGTATCATGAAATCCCGGTTTTTATATATACCTAGTCTAAGTTTGTACATGCAAAAGGTTCATTGTTTCAAGCCGAAATATAGCCGAAGTAATTCCCACGAGGGGTGANGGATCTTCTTGGTGGTGGGAGTTTGAACAAGCATGATTGTTTATCATGTATGGGGAGGATGTGGAGAGTTTTTGTGATCAGATGTAAAAAATAAGCATCACTAAGGTTCATACGCGAACTGAATATGGTGGAACAATTGATGAAGAGTTAATATTTTAAGAAGTCCAGCTGAGCTGAAAATGCAACGAGAATTCAAAGTGGAACAGAGTAAACGTGACTATGAAATGCAGCTTGCACTTGTGCGGGTATAAAATACTCCTATTGAAAGCCACTTGTTCTGCTGTTTGATTGGACTCTAATGAAATGTTAGGCATGATATGGCTGTGATATTCAAATACCATCTGCATATTGCTGATAACTGTGGCTATATTCCTTTAATAGTTCAAATCATTTCCGAACGTGCCACTCACGTCAGAGGTTTTCACTAGGGAACTGAAGAAGATTCAAGATATATGAAGGCAGTGACGATAGCCTAGCAAGTTCTTCAGCACAATTTCCAGCCATTTTTGCAGGATAACGGAACCGTGATTAATGCAGAAATGAAATTCAGGTCGAACTAGGCAAGCTACCATACATGCAGCTGGAACAAGCCAAGATTTTGAAGAATTTCAATGAATTAATGTTCAATTATCATTCATTGATTGAAACGACTCTTGTTAAATATCATGCTGATAAAGTTTAAACGATCTTTCGCTGAATATATACGCCGTTGAATTGGTGACATCGATTCAATGATAACTTGTTAACGAATGAATAAAGTTTTTTCTCCGCTGTTTGGTGTCCTTTTTTT